ATGCAATGTTAAAAGAGTTATGCACCCGCAAAAACCCACATTTGCAGTTCAAAACGTTCCCCTTACCCAATAGCGACAAACTATCGTATGCGAGACATCATATAATAGTTATATAAGACCTTATTTCCTGTTCAGAAGAAATCGTTTCGCGCACTTGCATATTGACATCATCGGACCATTACCTACATCTGAGGATTGTCAATATTGCGTCACAATGATCGATCGATGCACCAAATAGCCAGAAGCATACTCCGTCAAAGACATCAGCGCCGAAACCATCTGCCAAGTTCTGCTAAAGGGAAGGATTTCAAGATTCGGAACACCAACAACTATTACATCGGATCAAGGACGTCAATTCGAATCCGAACTATTCCGGAAGATGACAAAACAGCTGGGCATCAACCAAATCCACACCACTTCGTATCACCCGCAAGCCAATGGACAATTAGAACACTGGTACAGGACACTGAAGGCTGCGCTGATGACCAAATGCCACCGACTCCACTGGGTCAAAGAACTGCCCATGATTCTTCTCGGGCTCCGGGCTGCAATACGGGATGACACCAAAATTTACTCAGCAGAACTGACCTAAAGCACCGCAATACGACTTCCGGGAGATTTCTTCACTGCCAGAACAACACCTCAAAACGATAATGACATGCTACAGCAACTACAGCAAATGATGACGTCACTGCTCTCCACACCGAGGAGGCACAACGTTCACCGTTGCATCTTCGTACATGACGAACTACGTACGCGTTCGCATGTATTCGTACGCAATGACGCAGCAAAGAGCGAACTTATGCCACCCTACAAGGGTCCGTATAATACAAAGTACTCGAACGTCAGAAGTTTTACTCCGTCCACAGCGGTCTCAGGGGGCGCCGAGAATCACTCGCCACCATTTGACCTCGCGCTTACTAGAAGAACTATTAACACGATAGGTTAGTTATTGCATACGAGCCTCTGCAGTTTATTCTATTATTTTTTAGATAATAATATAGGTTTGCGCTTGACCGCAAATGGTTGCGATGGAACGCTTTTACCGCTTAACCACTATGCCTGGACGTCTTTGTAAAGATACACAAAATATCTACTTTCCTGTGTTATTATTGTTCTCTAAAAAGAAGCTGCGCATGGTAACTATACAAAATAAAAAGCTGCCTTCTTGCGTAGGCAGCTTTTATTTTAAGATTAACTTTTATAGTTCGGTTCATTTCAGGTGGTAGGCATTTATAATTGACACGCCCACGTGTAAATGTCGCCAAATAAAGGAAGTCAATATACATATAAGTGCCTATAAACGATTTTTAAACTAAATAACTGTGCCCCTCGGTGTTACCCGCGGTTTATTAGGGATATTTTCCCGAAGTAAAACGTAGCTTATGTGTTAATCCAGGGTGTCCGATAGCGGAAGAAGCGGGTCCGAATGCGTCTGAAACCTGAAATATAATTTAAATCAAATGAACTCATTTGCTTGCAGCGCAGTGAACAACAGCGCCATTATCAGCACCGTAGCAAGACTGATCATTTGGACGCGACCAAAAGTCATGGCCGTTTATCGATTTTTTTTGGTGACTAAGTCATTTATCTATATATAAAGGGCTCAGGTATGGTGCGAATACTTCGCAAGGTGTAAGGTTGCCCCCCTTATGTTATTCTGCCGCGTTCGAGTAAATCCGAAAATCCGAAATCTTAACAGATTTGTAATTTGTATGAGAATGCTTTAAATGGCCACTTAGATAAAACTTCAATGTCAAATTTAAGAATTCATATACGAAGCACATATTTTGGAGTTTCATTCAATGTCGCCATTTTTAGACTCCTCGGAAACATAATTTGTTAGGAAAACGAATTAAAACAGTTTTTAGATTTCTTACAATTATATTTTTACATTTGAAATTATACAGGCGGTTACATAAAAAATAAATACAGTTCCAAATTAGGATTTACATAGTGTGATGTACAAAAAGAAATGCAGGACTGTGGGCCGCAGCATGAGCTGTCAACGCGCTTCAAAAGCAGTCGTTGCAGCGAGACGCCGCTATAAAGTGCTAGCTGCATCTCACTCCAACAATGGCACTTGAATTGCGTTAACAGTACGACACCTTATATACATGACATGCTAAATACAATTTACATCTGCTACTGTCGCATCGTCGTTAATCAAATAATGAATATTTTTGGACAGCCATTTATTGAAAATATTTTGTGTTCTCTTTTGCATTGTAAAAAGGTACACAAATGCTTACTGACAAAAATTTATCTGTCCTGTTAAATGAAGTCAAAAATGTGTTAGCACTCAGAGTCGTTGAATAATGTGCCAGGGCCGGACTTGAGGCATGGCAGGCGGTGCTGTAGCCCAGGGCCCCCACAAGAGAGGGCCCCACAACAGATAAAAATAAAAAAATCTCGACGGGTCACCAACCAGGCGGAGTGGAGTGCAAATCGTAAAGGCATATTCCATCGTACCTATCCAACACCTCTTTATCCGACCCTGAGTTTAACGCTTGTTAAAATAACAGTGGTGTCGATTCTGGGATGATTCTCTAAAGTTAAAACTAAATTTAATATCAAGCTCTCCTTTTCATTCTGTATAAAGAAGGACTAGGATACACTGTCATCAAATTTTATTTTAGGTTAAGAGAATCATGCCGGAATTGACACCACTGTCTTATTCCATTACAAGCGCAAAATAAGTGACATATCATATATTATTGAAACATAAAAAAATATTGATGCGTCTCGAGGCCATACGGATTTTTATAAGTTCAGTTTTCAGTACCAACTATTTAAGTTATGATCAAAAAATTGTGTTTAAAATAATCATAATGTCAAAGTTTTGTTGAGCTATGTTGTTTTCTTTGCAATATATTATTCAAACAACATTCATATTTCAGTATAAAAAATACAGACAAATAACACTAAACCTAACTGTGATAGGTAAACATATAACAAACGTTTTGTGCTATGTGCCATCTTACATCGATAACGTTAGAAAATTTATAATATGTTACAAATAATAAAATCTCAGCTTACAAAAGTATGTGAGTGAATGTTAATATGTACATAGAGACGAGAAAACAAAAACCATTCTGGTTCTCAGTGTCAGTGATAAAAAAATATAAAAAAAAAACTAAAACATAACTTGTAGTCTCGTAATACTATTTAAATAAAAAAAGGTAAATTTAAATTATGTATACAGTAGTAGGTGGAACAATATTTTCAGGAAGTTTTAAACTAACAGTCTGTTAATACCAATCAGAAAATCAAATTTATATCGCCTGTAATAAAAAAGGTTTGGTGATATCATGATGCACTTCACTCGTAAACTTGACAATAGAGTTTCCTTATCATGCTTCATAAGGAATGAAGAGGACAGACTGATGTCAAGTTAACAAATAGCGAATACGAATAGTCAAGTGAAGTGCCGGCTGTAGAATGAGTCTTGCTGCAAAATGTAAGAAGTTTTAATTTGATATATTATTATACATTTTGCAACTAATGGGCGATACAATATATTTGTCTTTAGAAAACGTGGAATGCGTAATACCGGTAGGGAAGTATTTAAAAAATTGGCACAATAATGTACGTAAGGCGGTATAATAGGTACGTAATTATTAATATTACTATTACATTTTTAATTTTAATATCGTTATTAAAAACCTGGCAACATTTTTACACCTTACTAGCTACAGCAACACTCTTGTGGCGTACATACAACATGGAACATTTATTTTTAAACTAGCATCCATTCGACTCGTACAAATAATATTTCATATATGCTTATCTCGCTACGATAGAATGGAATTTACAAAAGTACGGGCTAACTATTACACACATTACTAGTATAGTTAGTTGTTACAGAAGACGACCGTAACACTTGTTTCGCTAATATAGCACTTGTTGCAATGATATAGGGAAGCAAATGGTACGCTCGGTTTAATTATAAAAAAACTGCAGCTTTATAAGACTTTACCTTTAGAAAACGCTAACTTCCTTGGAATATATAATGACTGAGGCACAATATTCAAAACAGCAAACAGGGATTAAACCTCTTACTCCACATATTTTAAATATCATACAAAATACGTGTAAAGATTGATTTATTAGATGATCGATCAGCGCCATCTATCTGAACTACATGACAAATCGAAAGTACTCAAAACTAGAAACACTGATCCATTAATAAATTCAGTCGGTGGATAATATTTACTTATGGTGGTAAAAGAGGTCCATAATACAACAAAACTATTCTTAATCGGACTATTACATAATACATAGCCAACGAAAGCAAGAAAATATCGGTAGATCACTGTGCGAGAAGGAACTTTATAAATGTGGCGAAAATTGGAACTAACGCCGCCATCTTTGTAAACTTTATATTACTTATGTCATTTACGTAGACAGCAGCGCCCTCCCTAAACTGTCACTCTCATTCATAAAAATCCTTGTCACACTGCTAGTTTTCCAATTACAGCACTAGAGCGCATTATGCGGCATAATGCTTAACGTTGAATGTTTCAACTAGAGCAACGCTTCGCACAATCGAGCACTCTCAGTATATGTATCTCAGTATATATCACTCATAGTAATGTTTTCGTGTGATGCGTGCAATCGTACCAACTCAGTGACAGAAAATTAACAAGTGTTGTTTCTTTAAGTTGGCATTGATCGAAATGTTTTATTTATAAAATATCGTTAGTAATATTATTTAATGTTGAAAAAAATTTAAAGTCTGCTGCCTGGTCCACGTGGATTTTTTTCTAGTTACATTTTCTTTAGATTTAAACATCAAGCAGTTACATGCTTTAAAAATTTAAATTATAACTAAAAATTTAAAGCTTTCGTTTCATTGTAGTTTTTTTTTTCAATAATCAAAGTTAATTCAAACTGTGTTAAAAAAATAAATATAAGTATGGATGAAGGTACAAACATTGACTTTTTGAAGTTATACTTCTTTAGGCGCGTTATGAAAAAATGATGAAAGTGAAATTTTTAGATGCGCGCGCATCACTGTAACCCAAAAGTAACAGCATGAAGTTGGCCGCGGGCGCGTTATGAAAAAATCATGTGAGTGAAATTTCGAGATGCGCGCGCATCACTGTAACACAATAGTAACACCATGAAGTTGGCCGCGGGCGCGTTATGAATGTTAGTGTCTAAAATAATAATATAAGACATCTGTTCGAAAGGTACTTTGAACGATCCACGGAGCTCCATAAGATGATCGCGTTGTCAAAAACAATGTTGGCACGCTCGTCGCCTCTGATCACTGTTTTCATATTTATAATATTTATTCACATGTTTCTAGTTTCTATATAGACACAACGTGTTTTAGTTACTTACAAGTGCTAATTACATATGGACTAATAACTTAAATTCAGTAGTGATTTTAATTGAATATTTTGAATATTTATTTAATTTTTCAAATTAAAACTGAACTTAATTGACTGTGTTAACTATCCTTTTCCAGTCCTTTTATTATTTTATTGTAATTATTAATTATTTGCATGCAATTAAAAAATATTTTTAATGATGCTAAAGAAGTATAACTTCTCACGCGCGTACATAAGTAACACGCATCCATTTTTTTTTTCAACACTGTACTTAGCGCACTCTGCTGGTGCATTTGAAAACTAATTCACGTTCCAATTAAGCATCAGCATAATCCGGCATTGTGCGCCACTGAGTCGCATTATGCTCTGTAATAGGAAAACTACCACTATAGTCTTTGAATCATCTTGAACCCTAAGGTTACCAACCAGGTTTACGATATTTTGTATGAAATAAAATGTATAAGCGAGTAAGGCAGATAATGTGAAATATTTATCTATAAAATCGATAAGAAATTATTTTAAGATAGCGCTTTATTTTTATACAATTTTATGATCACACGATCTATTTGATATAAACCAATACCATCTTTCAACTTTTACGTTCGTACGTTTAAATGAACACTGTATACTCTCTTCTCACTTATGAAACGCCAACTGAGCTTATATAGAAAATATTAAATGTTGAGCTAATTACTTTAATTAAAACTTGAACATTAATGAAGCGTTTTCCCTATAATGACATTTCAATCATTATATGTATAAGCTTCAAAAATATATAAGTTCACTGAAACCAGTTTGTGAATGTTTAATAATGAAACGCGAATTTACTGTATAAATAGTTAAATTTTTGAATTTAATGATTGAATGACATACCCTGATTATAACATTTACTGACAAGAATTAACTCTCCTTTTGAGAAGTCTTACTTTAATTAATACATATTTTATGTATTTGTTGGTTAACCTAGAGGAAAATAAATATCATCATTATAAAAATATAAAAACAAAAACCAGTAACGAATATAAAACGAAAACCACCCGACATTATTCTGCATACCATATAGAGTCAAAGTTAGTCCTTAATCGATTTCTATAGTATTACTTTAGAACCTGTCTGTCGGCATATTTAAGACACTATCTTAGTAAGTTAAATATAGTAAATAAGATGAAATTTTAATTTATTTAAGATCGAAGCAATTTTTATGAAATCAGGGATAATATATATATATAAGTAAAATTATATTTTAAAAATCCTTGGCGGGACTGGTAAATCATCAAGGTATAGAGAAGTGTATAAGCGTCACTCCCGAATCCACAACACAACGAAGCGACTTTTGTCATCAGTTGGGTCTAAGATGTCTGGAAACAATTAGTGACAGATTACCAGTTCATGGCTTCAATATAACCTTTCTGCTGATAGGCTTTCAATATCCACTTTGCAACTCCAATAGAGAATATGCATTATTTTTTTAGATTTTAATTTAGTAATTTACATCCCCTTTATACAGTATAAAAAACAACGTCGAAAGAATAATTGCCACCTTACACGGGCATTTTTAACACTCCCTATTTTTGAACGCTCGTGTGTGACGTAACAATTCATATCAACCCACCAACAAGATCAATGACCTTGCAAGACACTTAACATATTGCGTTACATACCTTCACTGCGGATGGAAGTTGGAACCTACGTCAATCTATTAGACATTGTGTTTGATACATTTTTAGTAGAAATTTAAATGTCAGAGTGAAAAATTGTACTAGGTGTCTAGGTGTGGAACGCGACTTTGAGTTCAGCTTCATCCTTTTTCGTGCATGCAACCGGTGTTCATAGATTTATAAGACGTTATCACGTCAAAAATATGCCACCCACCAATCCACACAATGGCCGCATGGCGGGTTTAGGTCCAATCTCCCTATTCCATCCAAAAACAATATCTTACCCATCTACCCGCACTGGGTTCTCGTGATAATATAACATGGTAGTAATATTATAAATGCGAATGATGTCAGTCACGCAAAAACTACTGGACGGACTTGGATGAAGTTTGGTACGTATATCCTTAATGCCCTGTGCCCTATTTCACCAAGCCTTGTTGTTGGGTGATCTATAATATCTAATTTTTCTTTGAACGCAAAATGTATTATAAAAATGTTTAGCCCCGATTTTATGTCAAGAATTGCTGACAATTTGACAATGAGGATCCGTAACGATTTAAGTTGAGAATTCAGATTTATATTCCTTAACATACAGTGGTTATTTTTTTCTTATACGACAAATATTGACGAAGCTATGACCAAATTACTAAAAGAATTTTCGACTGGCCGCGTGGTGGCTGTGACGCCACAGAGCACTAGCGCTCGGGCGCGAGCGTGCGTAGAGACGCTACTGAAGTTCGCCCGGAGTGAACCACGATCGGGCTCTGTGACGTCACACGTTTCAGCTGCCTGTAAATATAAGCTACCATAAAATTAGTTATAAAATCGTAACGAATGAACCGATTTCGATGATTTAAAAAGTATATTAATTTAAAAGCTAACTAGATCATTATACTGTTGATTATGAGTTTTTTTGCTGACCTAGTAATGATCCTCATTATGACGGCTTAAAAAAATATTTCACAACACAAATTGTCGTCGAAGTAAGAAACGGACAATTAACGACTGTAACAAAATGCCTGTCATTTTCAAAATGCATGTAGACTTGGTGAAATAGGGCCCTGGTTTGACACAAAGGATACTTGTTATCCTTTTCGGGGTAGGATGTTATGATTCTCAGAAAACGAAACTAGCAGCCGAAGACGCCGTCTTAAATGCCGACAGACAGGGAAGGGAAAAGTTTTGAATGCATACATTGAAAGTTACATAGGATTTCCTTAAAGCTAATAATATAGTATAATATTATATAGGCTGTGACACCCGACTCCAGCACACTACGACCACAATTTACATCGCATCTTTGGTTAACGGCGTGCGGCGGCGGTGAGTTTGCGTACACGCAGATTTTACGTATAAAATATTTAACTATTGAAAATCATACAATGAAACTAAAAAAATCAGTTAAGGCAGTATACGTCCTTGTTACCTATACCTATAAAGTAGGCAAAACCGAAATAGTTTCAAAATATACTAAGGTCGAAATTTCAATGACACTGTATAAATTAACAAAAGTTCTGTTGTTGGAATTCCAACCTTATATCATCATGTTACGCTATCTAAGAAAATACCGAAAGCAAAGTTATCACGTTAATAATTATTAGTAAAGAAAAAATTGGCTACATCAATTAATGGTAAAATAACTATTCTACATGAAGTTATTCAAATTTAAATCTAACTGTAAATGTAACATTACGTTAAGACTTTAATGGCACTGAACTCTAACGCAAACCTCACACGTCGCCGTGATCTTCCGCTCCTAAATTCCTCTATAACTCTCTATTTAGTTGATTAAAACTCAAAAAAATGTTCATACAGAGATATATAAACCATCTGAAGTAACCGTTTTTTTATTTATGTTCGTATTTTATATAATTATTACATAATGCTGGTCACAACCAAATCGACTTCTTTTTTTTAATTCTGTTTCGAGTCTTAATCAACACTCTGGTCGTTGACATTTTGACAACTATCTTTTATACTAACATTGTGAACGATAACTGAGAAAATATGTGTTCTATTGTTACATTAAAGCACTTGTTTCAAATTAATATCGTATAAGGACAAAAGTCAGTTGCCAAATTACTAGAATGGTATAACTCTTGTTTATAACTAAACGCGATTGTTTAACATGGAATCGGTTTAATTACAAAAACACAATAGATATGTTATACGAATTAAAACACTCGAAGTATATAAGATCTGTCAAGAATTATACCATTACCTTTACAAACATAACCAAACTTTTCTTAATTGACAAACCACTAATAAGCAGTCTTCACATTTACATAATAATTACAATACACTAAATTACATCATTACAATAAAAAATACTGGACCATAAACTTGATTTAATAGGAATTACAAATACCGCCTTTGGACATTCAAAGATAACGTTTACGCTTCACATTTTAAGACTCAGTTTTAGTCTAAAAGTGGTAAAATTGTATTTTTGAACATCTTCATAGGCATCTAACCATCTTTTCGATGGCACGACACTTCATACCTACATCCATGTATATTTAAATTACAAAGAAATAGTCGTCGCGAGCCGACTTAATATCTATACATAATCGTACCACAGACAACTCGGCAATGAAAAAAAAATATTAATAAAAATATAATCTATTTCTTGCGTGTTTATTCCAAACGCGCACTATTGCACTGGATTCTATTACAGATGAACTTCAGCTATAGTATAATGGCATTACGCTACACTAATATAATTTATTTGAAGACTTGAGACGGTACCATGCTGTAAGAACTTACAAATTCTCACCTTTTAACAAATACTTTGTTAACCCTATTGGCAAGCGAGTAACTCCTCGTTTACACCAAGGTATAAAATATAAATTCAACTTATTTTATGCTGTCTCTTAATTTTTTGTTCACACCTAATAATAGGTTGACACGTGTTTTTTTTTAATACCTACGTTATGTACAGTTGCATACGTTACTTGGTATTCACTCATAGGAACAATTGAAATTAAACAAAATAGCTATAGGCAATAAAGAAGCATTTTGCAAAACTTTTCCGTAATCCCGAAAACAAAACACGATCGGCTTAAAATTGTATGGGAAACGCGGGAAATTAAGTTCAAACTACGAATGCGTGTGTTTTTTATATCACATTCAGCCTAATATCATGGCTAATAGTTTAATTAAAAAATGTCTCTTTGTGTAAACGAGGGGTTACAATGAACTTCGCTCACATAGATAGAGACAGTCACTGGCCTCTTTGGTTACGAAATATGAATAAAATGTGTAGGCCAGATGTTTTAACTAACATATTAAATAATGATGAAACACTCATCCCAATTAAATCTTTGACGAACCCAAACGGTTCGTTAAAATTTTTGCTATATATTTTTCCTAATGAAAATTCAGTGAGATGATAGGTATAGTTCCTACCTTCATTGCTAACAATCAGCATGAAGAAGCAACTAATGAGGGTGTTTACGAAAATTCAGGTCACCAGTTGGTGTCACTGTAGCGTGAAGTGTTTTGTATGAAGGTTTTGGCGCGAATTAATCGAACGAGCGTTTTAATTTATCCATAGACTATGACGAAATACGCGATTAGACAGATGAGTATAAGTTTCGGCTCAGTGCTGCCGCCTGGCGCCCGTCATTCCTGAACACCGTCTTTCAATGAATATCTACCTTCGAAAAAAATGCTAGAAAAATCCACATCTGCCATTATAATCCCGTAAATATAACCGTAAATATTCATAATGCACACAACCACATCTTATTTCATAAGAGACGAAGCCTTAAATAACAAAATAATTTATATATTTTTTTCAGCTAAAATTATTGTTATTTTAATTTTATTTTCAATACATTTGAGCATTACAGTTGCTTCAGAGATTAATTAAAGTAATTACATTTATAATAATATGAAACAAGTCTATGAAATAATAAATGCTATATAATATTGTATTATACAAGCGTTACATGTCGAACATCAAGTTCTATGTATATAAACAAAGCTTGGGACGCACGCGTGCTTGAAACATAATGCCATGCAGGGTGGTTAAATAAATCTGACTTGTCATAGCTCAGCAAAAAAATAGCATTATGCACCCTTTTCTTGTGACCACTGCACTGAGCAGACAAAACCTGACCAGAAACATCAATAAAGTATTTGACAAGTTTAGAAAACGATCTCACATTATTTATGTAAGTTCATGAAGCCCATAGAAACTGGATATTTTTAATTCTGTTGAGTAATTTAGAAAAAAAAAAAAACAAATTAAATTTTTTAGCTGCCGAGAAAACGTTTCTCTGTATATAATGGCCTCTCACTAGTAGTATGTGACGTCACACGACTGTCATTAAAACGTCAAACGATACAATGTAATGTCACTTTGGCCGGTATTTAATTGTCTTATTCCAATCTACGCGCTTTAACATCCACTGTAGTGTTTTGGTATGACGAATGAATCACGAAATAACGTAGGTCAAAAATTTTAGTCAGGTATCATTTTGCGATGTCGCTATAATATTTAATATTGGTTACAGTGGACTAAACGGCTAACGAGACAGTCTTTTGTTACGCAACGTTTACGTCACAACAGAAATACGACACCAAACCTTTCAAGTCACTCGAACTTAGGGACTTACTTAACCATCCTGTATAGACAATTAATATGTGATAACGGCCAGTACTTACCATTTGTTACGCTCGAATCTCAACCTATATAGTCGTACGATGCAGGTTTAGTCGAAATAGGACAATATTACCTCGACTTTAACAGCCTGACGGTAACAAAACTACATCATCGGGAACGCACACAACCGAAATTTCAAAAAGATATTATTACACTGATCCAATTTAATGTTTACTTATAGCTACTGTATTACCGTGACACTTGATGCGATGCACTTGAATACCTGTAATAAAAAAAAATATGTATTATACATTAGGTGTGTATGTATTATTTAATACTTGATTTTTTTTATAAAAATAATTGGATGTATAATGCTTTAACTATGTAATTTTTAAATTGGCACTTATATTTATACTCAGTACAGATAAGATTACATTATAATACAAAACTTTTAAATAACTTAAAGTTTTTGCTTGTTTAAAGTTTAATAGAGAATTTGTGCACTTTGTGCTTATTTGATGTGGTTGAAAATCTGGCAAACAATATTTTATACTTTAAGTACCTACTTAACTTAACTTAACTTTAAGTAAGTATGACAGGGATGATGAAAGCAATTTGTGAGACTCTAGTGTTACCATTTAAGCCTTATGATTTGCAGCCTTAACAGAATTATGAAATCAACCATCATTAATTGACGACCTCCGAGGCCGAGTGGTTTGTACGCCGGGTTTCATGGTGTCGTCGACTCATGAGGTCCCGGGTTCGAATCCCGGTGGGGGCAGATGTTTGTGTAATGGATACGGGCATTTGTACTCCAGTCATGGATATTTTATATGTATTTCTATATAAATGTACTTATATATGTATAGTATACGTATTCTATCCGTTACCCTAGTATCCCATAACACACAAGCCTTACATTGCTTACTTTGGGGCTAGGCTAATTAATGTGTGTGTTGGAAATATTTATATATTTATTTATTTAATTTATAATAAAACTGTACTTGCGTATGGAATAACACGCTTTTGTTGTTGCACGTTGTAGCTAAGTGTAGCCGCGACAAGAGAGCTTGCCCGACCGAATGCAAGACGGGCAATTACACGACTTACGTATTGGCAAATTTGAAGGTTGTATAGTGCCAATCAAATAAGAATAGGAAAGCCTATGACCTCCATCTGTCAAATCACGCTTGAAAAGTACGGTTTGCAAAAAATCTTGGAACCCTTTTTTAGCACTCAGCTAATTCTAGAATAAAAACCAAACAATTGTAATCAAACAATAACAAATATTGATAATTAATATTAGTTGATTTTTATTTCATTTATTGAGCTTTGGCTATGAATGGTTGATAACCTGAATCGTCAACCAAATGTCACTTTAAGTTGCGTTCATTAACTCAATTTAAAACTTTCGTATGTATACATAAATTATGCATGTTCGTATGTGACAAAAGAATTGAAGAGCTAGATTCTGATTAATGTTTTTTCTCACACAGTCTTAATAAATAAATATTATTAAAAATTGGTTGTTTTTTTCTCAATCTTAGTAATTATTTTTTATTAAAAAAAATCTGATGTTTTTTCTTACTTTATCTTAGTAAATAAGTATTGCATTAAATAAAAACCTTTTTTGCTCACTCTACCTATTTGGTTTGAATTGACAGCTATGATGTCACAATATGGCACCCAGCCGGTCCTATTCTTAGTTGAATCGCATTATATGTCGTATCTATATACTACAAAATATAATAATAATAAACACTTTATTGCTCACATACAAAAGGACATAGGTACAAAGAATACATTTAACAATAATATAGGCAAAGGCGGTCTTATCGCTGCAAGCGATCTCTTCCAGACAACCTTCGCGGTATAGGTAAGCTAAACGGAAAAGAAGATGTAGTAAGCCAGCAGAGTCGATAAGAAATGTAAATATATAATTAATATAATATACGTACAAAGAAATTGTCTATCATACACTTACATATACATATACACATACATACATATAGTATCATAGACTTAATTTATTACCTGTGCCGCGCCAGGAGCGGTGGGCGGGCGGCGATGGCGCAGTAGGCGGCGAGCAGGGCGGCGTGACTGTGGGGCGGGTTGCCGGAATCGCATCGCGCGTGGGCGGCCAGCGATATTACCTGTGCCGCGCCAGGAGCGGTGGGCGGGCGGCGATGGCGCAGTAGGCGGCGAGCAGGGCGGCGTGACTGTGGGGCGGGTTGCCGGAGTCGCATCGCGCGTGGGCGGCCAGCGATATTACCTGTGCCGCGCCAGGAGCGGTGGGCGGGCGGCGATGGCGCAGTAGGCGGCGAGCAGGGCGGCGTGACTGTGGGGCGGGTTGCCGGAGTCGCATCGCGCGTGGGCGGCCAGCGATATTACCTGTGCCGCGCCAGGAGCGGTGGGCGGGCGGCGATGGCGCAGTAGGCGGCGAGCAGGGCGGCGTGACTGTGGGGCGGGTTGCCGGAGTCGCATCGCGCGTGGGCGGCCAGCGATATTACCTGTGCCGCGCCAGGAGCGGTGGGCGGGCGGCGATGGCGCAGTAGGCGGCGAGCAGGGCGGCGTGACTGTGGGGCGGGTTGCCGGAGTCGCATCGCGCGTGGGCGGCCAGCGATATTACCTGTGCCGCGCCAGGAGCGGTGGGCGGGCGGCGATGGCGCAGTAGGCGGCGAGCAGGGCGGCGTGACTGTGGGGCGGGTTGCCGGAGTCGCATCGCGCGTGGGCGGCCAGCGATATTACCTGTGCCGCGCCAGGAGCGGTGGGCGGGCGGCGATGGCGCAGTAGGCGGCGAGCAGGGCGGCGTGACTGTGGGGCGGGTTGCCGGAGTCGCATCGCGCGTGGGCGGCCAGCGATATTACCTGTGCCGCGCCAGGAGCGGTGGGCGGGCGGCGATGGCGCAGTAGGCGGCGAGCAGGGCGGCGTGACTGTGGGGCGGGTTGCCGGAGTCGCATCGCGCGTGGGCGGCCAGCGATATTACCTGTGCCGCGCCAGGAGCGGTGGGCGGGCGGCGATGGCGCAGTAGGCGGCGAGCAGGGCGGCGTGACTGTGGGGCGGGTTGCCGGAGTCGCATCGCGCGTGGGCGGCCAGCGATATTACCTGTGCCGCGCCAGGAGCGGTGGGCGGGCGGCGATGGCGCAGTAGGCGGCGAGCAGGGCGGCGTGACTGTGGGGCGGGTTGCCGGAGTCGCATCGCGCGTGGGCGGCCAGCGCGGCGCAAGTGTATAGGGACGCGGAGTCGTCGGAGGCGGGTCGGAATTCCGAGTACGGGTCGTGAGCGGTCGGGTCGCGAAGGCCCCCGCATGCCGCTGATAGAGTGCAGAAGCTCATCGCTTTCCAACCCCCGTATCTAGATGGAGATAAGGAAAAGCTAAGGTGAGCACATTTGCTTAAACAACAACAACTTGAAACAAAGTTAAAATATAAGTATACAAGCTGTCCCAGGGAACTTCGTACCGCCATAAAAAATAGGGGTTTTTGTTAGAAGGTTTAAAATTGAAGGTCGTATATATTTTTTATGATGTATTATAAAAAAATAAAATCAAAAAAAATTACCAAAAATAGAAAAAAAATTAAGGGTGGACCACCCTTAACATTTAGATGAATGAAAAATAGATGTTGTCGGATTCTCACACCTACTGAATATGCATATAAAATTTCATGAAAATCGGTCGAGCCGTTTCAGAGTAGTTCAATTACACACGCCGTGACACGAGAATTTTATATATTAGAAAGTACACATAAGTATAAGACTAAGAAATGCTAGAGAAAATTCGACACGGACGGGACGCGTTAGCATAATGTTCAGTGCATCCGCCCGGATAGCGGAGGTTGCGGGATCGAGTCCCGTCTGCTGCCTGGTCCGCGTGGAATTTTTTTCTACAAAAAAATCTTTAGATTTATTTGAAGCTTACGGACTTACTTATCAACGACGACCACTGGTCCATTCTTGTACTCCATTTGGCATCCAGCGACGAACTCTATCAACGCGAACGAATCTCTATACGGTTCTATCAACCTGTCTATAGCTGCTTCTCTCCCACTATCAGTCTGCGCTTCCTTCACTGCCCTTATAAAATCATTCGTATCCGGATTACCAGCAGTATAATCCGTAGTGTCACCATCCAACCACCCACTACACTTGATAAATTTCACACTAAGTTGATAGTCATCTTGCAAAGAATGCACACTGACGTTCGTCACTTCTATAATACGATCTGTGGGTATGTTCTCTGGGACAGAATTGGTTTTCTCAAAGTAGTAACAGGGTCTTCGTAATTCGGCTTCCTCTTCTACGGTCAAAGATGGCGCCACTGGGGGAGGGGGAGGGGCTACATCTGGTGGAGACCCCGCAGCTCTGGAACCCCAATCGGGGAATTTAAATTTCGTTGGAGAACTAAGCTTGAAATTTTTGAGGGACATTTTGGAAGGACTTCGCGGTGATTTGGGACCATTCTTCTTGCTTTCTGATAAGGAAGAGAAGAGATCTCCGTTTGCTATCGACTTCCTTGCTGATAAATCTCTGTTGCCGGTGCTGAGTCTTTCAAGGCGGAGTTCTGTTCTGTCGAATCTGTAAGCTGGTTCGTTTTCTATAATAGGTGAACCATTTTCTGGTATAAGTCTCTCGTCGTCGGCACAATCGCTACTCTCTTGCCGCCGGTATCCGTTCGTTTCCGGTTCTACCGGCGATTCAGCCGGAGACTGTCGATCCACTTTCCGGTAAGCGACGTACGTGTCTTTGGAAACGAAACTCGCCCTGAAGTTGGCCACGGACAGCTCCTTCTCCTCTTCCGTCGGCCAGAATATTTCGCATTCCTACAGAAAACCAATACAAGACCATTAGAAGTGAATTTTAGATAGTCTATACGCACAGATAGCACCTAAAGCTGTGAAATTCGATAAAACATACAGTAAGAAACGAGGAAAAAAATATTTGATTTATAATACTCCACAATAAATTTTGGGAAAATAAACTATACTGTGTACAAGGAAACGTGTTAGTGGGAAGCCTTTTTATATTGCAATATCACTTGCTAATCTGCGTCACACAAGAAAGAATGCTGAATGCGATATTAATCAGAGCAATGTTGACACAGTCTCAGCATTGCTAATCCGGCTAATGATAGAAAAGTACTTCTTTGCATTCGTAAAAATGTTTTTTTTTTTTAAATCTAACAATATTGAAGTGAAACTTCTTTAGGCACGCTTGACTTGGGGGGTAAACTGGCGAATGTGTTACGGTTACGCGTTACGATTAGAGTCATCGGTGACTTTTCGGTAAACAATGTACAAAACCCGTCGCAAAATACATGAATCTAGTGCTAACTTACGTGTTTACTTGATTGATTTACTATTGAAATAGGGTTTTAAACAATTACACGACGTAATTTATCAATAATCAATAACAATTTAATATTTTACTATTGAAATAACACTCAAACTCAATTTTAAAACCAACAAATATCTAAGTTGACATTTTAGAAATAGTATTTTTTTTATTTTGTCCAATTGAGACAAGTAAAAGAATCTAAGCCTATACAGCCATAGGTTATATTATTTATAAGTTTCTAAAAGAGTTACGAAAAAGTTGGTTTATGTTGTTGTGATAATAAAAATATAATAAAGACAAACTTGACTTTTCTGTGAAATTGAGTAATTTGACTTTTTTGTTTACCAATGAAAACATAACTAAATTGCAATATTTGTAGAAAATTATTATATGAATATATTGTACAAACACGTATATTTATATATATACATACAGATGGAGCTAAAGAAGTTTACTTCAGCCGTGTGGTCATAAGCACACTCGCTTTTTTTCACAATCGTCGAAATAACAGTTACACTCACCGGGTCGTCGGTGTCGCTCAGTGTTAGCACTAACTGTGCCGTATGATCCCATAATAATCTCCACAGATCTGGCGCGGACGAAGGCCTCGGATGCTGAGCTACTGCATACTCTCGCATCCGTCGACGACCGCAGACCCATGAGGCGTTCACGTATTCACTGCCTGTTACGACATGCGATATTTGTAAATAAAACAAGTGTATTTAGATCCATTAACATGGTATTCTTTGTACTAAAAGGGCAGAAAACTGAATTAAAACCGCTCAATCTACCGTAATAGAAAATCCGTTGCTTGACTATATTAGTAAATCATATAATATTTATTTAATTCTCTAGAATATCAAGAAAATCGATAGCAATTTCTTATATTATTATAGGTATTAAAATAATAAAGTGTTAATGACAATTACGAATTAATATTTTATATGATATGTAACATAAGTTTTATTAGTTTGGAAAATCATAACATACTCTCTCTTCAGAATAAAAAGTATACACTGTTAACAAATTTAAGTTAAGATTAAGTAAAGTGTGCCAGAATCGACACCATTGAGCCACTAAGCTACTAGCGGCTTCGATTGGTGGCTGCGTCTGTTTAGTAGCCGCGATTAGTGTTTAATGTGCGCTTGGTGTGATACACTCTTTTGATGTATTATTAAAAGAATTCAATTAGATGTTTAGAACTAAACACAGTTTTTTAAGCACAAATTAGCCACTAGGAATTTACCTTCCACGCCTGGTTTGGGCACCAGCATTACTCTAGCAGAGTCCGAAGGCAAGATGCCCCCGGGCCGATTCTTCTCCGTGTTGTGCGGTGCGCGAGCGCAAACACTCGGCTCAACGCATGACCGCGTTATTAACTGTGAAACAAATGTTTATTTTGCAAAGAAACCATTTTTAATAAGGAAAAGCTGTTAAGATTTAACTACCAAAAGTTAGACATGGGTTCAAACCATGTTTAGGCAAATTTTTTATGAATTTTTTTCTTAATTTTTGTGGTAATAAGGTTGGAATCGCACTGTTATGACCACAAACGAACCGCTAAAAAAGCGTTAATTTAACAAAAACACAATTAAAAAAAGAAGTTCTGTAAGAATCCGGCTCGAAGGACCATAAACGGTAAGACGTATATGCTACACATAATATGCCATATATTTATTATTTTATATTTCTCATGATGTTTCACATAGTATGTTTAATGGTGGGGGGAAAAAAGTGCTTAGCTTTTTATGAGTAAGTATAAATAGTATGTAGGTAATACAAGGAGCAAAATCGACACATATTATGTTAAGAAAAATATTAAATCATTAATACCTATCTAGTTACTTATTAGACAGTATAATTGCTTGTCAGTAATAAATCGATTTCTTACCAGAAACTGTTTCTCGAGAAGATTCACTGGCGGCGGTCCTTGATATGTGTGATGTCTGTTCGCTAACGAACGCATTCGTTCTAGCAAAGCATAATTTTCGGCTCGATTTACTCTGTTGAAAGAAAATGCTTTTTTAAAAAAGATAATAAAGCGCCATAAATTTTAGGATAGGAACACATGCAATAGCTGCATTTTCATCGAAATGCAGGTTTATTTCAATTATTACTTAAACACCATTATTCAATTGCACATCTGTTTTCTACAGAATAAGAAAAAAATCTTAGAGAAACGCCAACTGCCCTGTAATACAATATAATTATTGTTTGGCCGTATGTTTGTATGTCCGAATTGGCATGCTTTGAAGATAATATAATTTCACTAGGCATAAATTAATTTAATTAAACTTTCAACTGCTTCAATTACTAAAGAAATTCACATATTAACTCTTACCTTCTCATTTCTTCCTTCTCCTGCTCATTCATATTATTGTACGCCATCATCTTTTTACTGTACGTATCGGTAGACCTTGGCGCGAGGTCATAAACACCTTCCGTCTCCTCACCATTGACTAAAACCTCCTTAGTGTCAGAATCATCTGTCACATCTCTGACAGAACACTGCGACTTGCTCTGTTCACTGTTCAAATCACAAGTCTTTATCGACACTTGACTACCGTTCTCCATAACTTCTTCCTTCTCACTGCATTCGGCCATATTAGATTTAATACTCGAAGTTTCTCCATTTTCGATGCCGTTCGTTAGATCGTTAACGCTTTTATGTTTATTAGCGTTCAAGTCCAAAACGGCTAGTTCGTCTTCGGTTATTGGTTCTAAAAGTTTCACTAAATATTCTCTGGCTTTCGTAAACTCGACTTCTGTGTTGCCAGACCGTACGTGCTCTAATAACGCGTCGTGTACGAATACGTATTGTTCTTCGGTTTGCACGAGATGGTTACGTTGCGTTCTCGCCCTACATAAGAAGCCGAGTGGTGATAATGTACCCGTAAGTTTGAGTTGATTCAATTGTGCGTCTAATACTATGTAGGTTCCTGTCCTGCCCACGCCGGCGCTAAAAAAGAATACAACTGTATTTATTAGATCAATACATTTTTTTTATTACTTTATTTTCTCTCCCTAGTCTTGTACATGCTCCATAGGGAATAGTTTATAAAACTTAGATCTAAGATTGTGTGAAACTTTATAAGATCAATACATCAATACAATTTTTAAACATAATTATTTTCTTTAATACTTAGGAACAAATATGCGGAACTACATAAACATAATGTTAGTGTGTAGTAGCCATTCGTATTTGCTGTTTTTCAACTTATTCGTAACATCTTATCCTGTTCTAAATAGAAAAAAATGGGAGACACTGTTGTAAAATTGACAAATCGCAAATACTAAAAGCCAACTTTTTAATGTGTTGATCTTAAATTATCTGTAATTTGTATTGTATCTCTCATGTTTATCAGACACTATGTGAGATAAATAATAGTGGAAATTACCTAGGTAATTGATTAAACTTAATGTTATAGTTTTTATGTGTAAATTAATGCTGTTATTTCCCTAAAAATAAAAAATTAAATAAAAAATGTTAAGATTAATTAATTTTGATTCAATCTTTTTTTTAATAATTTGACTTCTTATCATCGATTTTTTTTTGATGCATTAATTTAAACTGAACTTTATTAATTGCATGTTTTTTTTCATCTTACACTTAGTAGGATCTTTACATAGACAGTTTACCAGCATATGTTGCGTCTTTTCCATAACTTATATGGTTTTCATCTATAAGTATAATAACATTAAGCTTAAGCACTTTATCATTACCTGCCTGATGTTGTGTCAATGTGTATTATTTTGGTGATCAAATAAATAAAAAAAAATATAAAACGAGCGAGCCTTACAATAGTCGCGTATGATGTGTAACATTTGAAACCTCACCTTATATTAGTAAAAAAAGAAATAAAACCTACTACAAAGGGAATAAGCCATTTGGACATTGTGATCTAAAATCGAATCAAATAGCGCGCGAAAATATTGACTCACAGCAAAAAAAAGTTGTGTACATTTTCCATGTTCTGTTGTGTCCTGTGTCTATATATTTTGCCTTTTTTGTGTATATTTTAAATGTGTAAACTGTAAAGCCTGTAATGTATTTTACCTGCAATGCACCAGCACCGTGCCCGGATCGGCGGAGGCTGCCCTCACAAAGGGCAACACCGCCAAAGGATGCCGCGGCGTGCCGTGATCCGGCCACACGGTGTAATGGTACTGAGCTATAGGGCGCCACCCGTCTTTGTCTACGTCCTGTGATTCGCTACTCGATTCGCTACCCTGTACCGAAATAAAAAACCTATCTTGTAAATATCACCTGCTGTAATAGGGTATTTAACAGTATTAAAAATAAAGTGCCAATTGTTAGCATCTGTGTTTAGAATTAATATTGGCAGGGGTTTTTACTATTTTTACAAAAAAAGATATTCATAATTTTACTATAAACCCAGGAAAAAGATAATAGTTTTCTTATCTATTGTCACGTGACCCAAAACGCTTGGGATTGGCGGAGCCTAAAATGAAGTCACACGCAAATAAACATTGTACCATTCGACGTTTCAATAACAGTCGTGTGTCGTCACACACTAGTAAGACGCGATATTGTCCAGAGAAACGTTTTCGCGGCAACTTGAAAATGGAGTTTTTGATTTGGTTATTTTTACTGAAATACACAACAGAATGATGAATATCCAGTTTTTACGGACTCCATAAACATTTCTCAATAACGTGAGATCGTTTTCTAAAACTTGTCAAATACCCTATTATATACACGCCTAGATAGAGCAATGCAAATAAACTACACAGAGAAAACGGTTCATGTTTCGCGCAAAGTGTGCGTAACTTTAGACTAACGCATTAGTGTGAGATTGTTTGGAAGCAGTCAATGTGTGCGTAGCGACGAGCGTATCTACCATATGTAGTAGATATTTTTTGGTCCGTTTCCGTGCAATTAATCCGGTATCTAGGCGTGAATACAATAGGGGTGATGACGGGGTACAGTAAACGAAATTCTATTTAGTCCGTTAGTTAGATGATCAAAAAATAATGGACACGTATTTTTTTCTTTGGGCAATCAACCAAAAAATGACAAAGTTATAGCGCGTCAAAGTTTGCGAGTAGGGGCTCGTGACGTCACTTTTGAGTGAATTTTCACTTATAAGTGTACTCAAACGTGACGTCATGCGACTTTTCAAATCAATATATCTCTGCAATGTTTATATTATGTGCAATACAATACTTCTTGATAATCTACCTGATAAACGAAGAAAAAAAAATAGTCATCATCCCTATTGCACAAATATGTATTGCTTATGGAGATTACGTCACACACCGTGTTGGAGACGATCCCACTATTGTTTACTAACGGGTATCTGCGACTTCGTTTGCGTGGTTTAATTCCCCAATATACACTTTAAGTTTTATTTTCACGACAAGAAGCGTATAACCATCATCAGGGTTTTTTCTGTATCTATACGAATATTGAGCTTATTCGATCAAGCGCTTTAGGCGTGAAAGCTGAACAAACAAACACTTTAGATAACAATTAGCACCGCCAAAGGATGCCGCGGCGAGTCGTTGATCGCCAACAAGTTACACTTAGGCATTTCTTACTTACACATTTATAGAAAGACACTTTATTAGTTGAACTTTAATTATAGGCGATTACGACATGCAATATACACTTAACTAGCAATTAAATCTTATGAAATTTTGATAATGTCATTAATTTTAATATACAGCAAATTCGAATAAAAAAGTAAAATAATAACTGTCAATAATTGAACAACAAGAATAAAATGATGCAATGGAGTGATCTGGCCACACGGTGTAATGATACTGGGCTATAATGGGGCTGGGGTCTTTGTCCACGTCCTGTGATTCGCTGCTCGATTCGCTACCCTGTAGCAAATTTTCTTTTAAATCATGTCTTGCTTATAGCGATTACAGTATAACGTGTTAGCCGTACCCTATATCGTTTATTGATGTCTTCCTTTTCAACTAAATATTAAAGTGTTTTAAGTTATGTTAAGCAAAATAGTCTAATAACAAATAAAAAAAAGTCGGATCAACTACCTCGTCTCTAGCAAAGTTATTGATGTGTGGTGTGATACTTATTTTCATTTATTATAAGTCACACAAAGTAGACTTGCTTTATATCCAAATCATAATAATCGGTCTTTCCATCTCTATACACAGAAACAAATAAGTAGAACACTGTCTTTATTACACAATCAATTACCAAAGACGAGAATGAAAAGGGGGCTATCAATTGGCCAGCGAAATGGCAAACAATACAATCCAACTAAGGACAGAAAAGTTTAGCTTTTATCGGTGCTAACTCCCTCCCATATATTGAAATTGAATGAATTAAAATGAAAATTGCCTTTATTGCTTTCAAGTTCCTCAAAAGAGAACATAAATCCTTACCTTATCGCTGTCGTTGAGCCTCATATGCCGTACACGCATATGCCGTACAGTATACGCAGCCCGTACGTCTTCGTGCAGTAATCGAACCTGGATCCCGCCGTGTTGAGCGCTACTACCGCGCCCGCCGCCAGGCCAATACATGTCGCATTTACGCTGATTCAACAACAAAGAAGAAGATGAAAATGTTATAGGTGGCATACGAGCAGACGGCTCACCTGATGGTAAGTGATCACCGTCGCCCATGGACACTTGCAACACCAGGAGTATCACAAATGCGATGCCGGCCTTTAAGGAAGGAGTACGCTCTTTTTTTGGAGGTTTTTGCGTCGTATTGGTCCGGAAACACTGCTGGCGACAATATATTCCACGTTTTGTCGTACGTGTCGTACGTGTCGAACGAAAGTTTTGTCGTACGTGGTAAAAAATTTCGACGAAAACGCACGGTTGTGGATAGCCACGCATCAAGATGATGGGGGATGAAATTTCTGTCGCGATGTACGATGGCGAAATGCAGCAGCTGGAAGGAATCCGAACAATTCCTCAGAACACTCTCCGTGATAAATGCGATAGAAGATGCAGAGCGATGCTACATCCCTACGCAAAGCCAAAGGATCAAAAATTTTACAATATCTCACTAATATTATAACGCCGAAAGTTTGTGAGTGTGTATGTTTGTTACTTCTTCACGTCTAAACGGTTGGAGCGATTTTAATAAAATTTGGTATGGAGTTAGCTGACACCCTGGATTAACACATAGGCTACGTTTTACTGCGGGATAATATCTCTAATAAACCGCGGGTAACAGCGCGGGGCACAGCTAGTGAAAAATAAAGTTCTAATTGTTGGCATATAATATGAATATTAGCAGCGATTTTACTAACCAGAGGAAACAAATAATTAATAACTTTTCTAAAAAATCATTAATTAGAAATTATTTCTTGTTCTATGATCAAGTTAGCGATGCCGCCTGGGATTGGCGAAGATTAAAATGTCACGATAGGAAACTGGCCAGCGGTAATGACATCATGAATGTCGATTGCCATGCTGTTGATTCGTTCCAAATACGGGGTGACATCATGAACTAGCGCTATATTCAAGCATTCTCGTGTTTGTGTGCAACGTTCATAATAATATAATTTAATACAAAAAAGAACTTCACTTACTGCAGAGCGTATACACCCGGCTACGTCACAGTATTCTCAGCAGCATAATATGGCGGCACACCAATGCAATATGACGTCGAAATCATGACGTCATTACCGCATTATTTCGGAATACACCCTGTATCATTTGACGTTTTAATGAGTCGTGTGACGCTACACACCAGTGAGACGCCATAATGTTCAAAGAAACGTTTGCGCGGCAACGTGAAAATGGACTTTTTGATTTTGTTTTATTTACTGAAATACCATCAGAATGATGAATATCCACTTTTACTCTACACACATTAGTAAATAACTTCACGTTATTTATTTAAGTTTATAGAGTCCATAAAAATGCATATTATTAATTCTGTTGTGCAATTCAAAATTAAATTTTCTAGTTGCCGTGAAATCGTTTTTCTGGTAATCGTGGAGTCTCACTAGTGTGCGACGTCACAGGACTGTCAATAAAACGTCAAACGATACGATGTAATATCACTTTGGGCGGAAGTATACTAGCGTGTGACGTCGTTTAAGTCTTGGCCAATCCCAGGCGTTTTCGGTGTCGTGACCATGGAGCAAAAATATTATTTCTATTTGATTTTAAAGAAAGTTATTAATTATTTGTTCTTTCAGAATAGTTAAATCGCTGTTAATATTCATATTTAATAGGATGCCAACAAACAGTACATTATTTTTCATACTGTCAAGTAGCCTTTTGAAATTTTTAGCAAACACAAAACCATTTCAGGATTATTATGTTTCTCAGTTTTTTTTAGTATTTATCTCCAAATGTTCGTAATAAACTACGTGATACCAAGATGAAGAAATAATAATTGAATTGCTTTGCGTTCTATTAAGAAACAATGAGGAAGAAAAATGCAAATTATACCGCCAGAGGCACAGGTGTCGAAAGCCCCAGAACAACAAATTGAGACAACTGTCAAAATCATAAGGAAACCCGACAGATTCCGATGGAATTGGGCTGCATTCCTAGCTTACGCTCCAGGTGCAACTAGTGTTAATTTTGACATAAGTTTCATACATTTTTTACGACCTCCGTGGCCGAGTCGTTTGTACACCGGGTTTCATGGTGTCGCCGACTCGAGAGGTCCCGGGTTCGAATCCCGCTGAGGGCAGATGTTTGTGTGATGATTACGAGCATATGTACTCTAGTCATAGATTTTTTTTTATATATCAATATACTTATATACGTATAGTATACGTATTCTATCCGTTACCCTAGTATCCCAATAACACAAGCATACAGTGTTTACTTTGGGGCTAGGCTAATTGGTGTGAGTGTTGAAAATATTTATTATTATTAATTATTTATTTTATGTCAAAATTGAAACGTCAAGGTAAAAAGTTGCACTAAGCGTTTAGAACGCTGCCATGAAGTGACAGATTACTTGTTATTGGCCAAATGACCAAAGCGCCATCTGTAATGTGTGCCTTTTCTTCCCCTTGGTTAAACAAGTACCCAAATGTCTAACAAGTCTTTTTCTTTAATAAAATCAATTTTGCAACTCACCCTGCCCCTTTCGACGAGATTAGTGATCATGACGATAGTGTGTACTCGATGCTGCCAGATCATGCGCCAGAACGCGTCCAAAGTAGCCGGGGTTGGGCCCTGGGTTGCTATATACCGTCGTCGCCAAACCAGCCATTCCAATTTCACCCTTGTCGACACGCCATCTAGTGTGAATAAAAGCAATTTTGGCAATCTGTTAAAGTGTTAATGTCGACATATTTAATAAATTTTCTTAATTAATTATTTACCAGTTAATATTGCGGCCACTTGCACCAATAATATGTAAAACATAACTGTACCTTTGTCAATTGTTTGAAATCAGTAGATATATTTTATTTAAAAAAAGATAAAAGTGTTGCAAGTGATTCTAATGCCAGCACTTCGTTTGGCTGTTCGAGTTTGCTATTTGTAAACTTGACATCAGTCTGTCCCTTTCATTCCTTATCTATACATATAATAAAATGGTAGGAAAGTCAAAACTGTACATTGAATATTTTTTTTAAAGAATACTTGGGGTGTGTTCTACAATCGATACCGAAGCAAAAAATAGTTTTTAGAATTTTTGTCTGTTTGTCTGTATGTATGTTTGGGATAAACTCAAAAAGTACTACATGGATTTACATGTAGTACTGTTAAATTTGTAGTTTAAATTTGGTACAAATATTATTAAAAAGTCGGGTCAACATATAGGCTACATATTATCACGCTATCACCTACGGGGAACGAGCTGTGAACCTTTATTTTTAACTAACTCCACGCGTACGAAGTCGCGGGCGACCGCTAGTAAAGCATGAAAAGGTCAAAATGTTGTCAAGTTTACAAATAGCAAATATGAATAGCCAAGTTAAGTGATAGCATAAGTCAATCTTTGAATCCAATATAGAAGATATATATAGAAGTAAATAAATTGAAGACCTTTGCGAAACAAAGTGATCTCAACAAAGATAAATACTACTAACATTTCCATATTATAAGCAAGTAACAATAAAAAAAAAGTAAAAGCATGTTAGAAAATCAATTCGAAAAGATCGTTAACAATTATTCTGACACTTTGATGTATTTAATGCACAATACAAAGTAAACTAATGCTACAATCGAGATATTGAATACAAAAGGAAAAAAACAGTAACTCTACCTTACTTAAATAGTAAAAAATATGAACATATTATTTGTGATTTTAAAGATATACACTGATTGTGGTGTCGATTCAGGTATGATTCTCTATACTTAAAACAAATTTAACATCATTATCTCCTTTTCATTCTGTTTAAAGAATGACAAAGATACACTGTTGTAAAGTTTAGGTTTAAGAATCGTGCCAGTATCGATACTATTGTCTCAACATCGACCGCAACGAAATCTTTGTACTTTAAATCCGCTTATTCGAAAGAAATCGAATTGTTGGTTTAAAAAAGAACTTTAACCCTTATCACTGAAGACATAAGATCTAGAACTCACCTATATCGACATAAACGTCGTCCAACTCGCAGTCATCGTCGCTGTGGTCGCTGTCCGAGTCTTCGTTTTGTTCGTCTGATTCCACGATGCCGGAGAATTCTATGTTCAGGAAGGCAGATTCTATGCCTTCCGCTAGATTGGGCGGAGGCTTGGCGGGTTTCATGGAAGGTTGTCTGTGGGAATATATAAATAAATCTTTGTTACAATTGAAATTAACTTATTAACAAATTTTTATATACATTTTAGGTTGATCAAAAATCGTTTTTAGGTTTTTGTAAATAAGTAAAATGGAAAGACCTCCCACCAAAAAGCAAACTCCCGGGCTTAGTCGGCATCGCCGTTCAGACTTTGATTCTCAGAATAATACAATACATAAAATAATGACTTAAATTGTTTCAAGAAATTCACATGGTTATGATACCGTCTTAGTTTCTGATTTCGATTATCAGATTGGAATAACATACTTCACGATCTTCAATATGAGAACAACTACTTTTGGTCCTTCGAGTATTACCTTGACTGAAATTAATTCAGTGATTTGCCAACAAAACAAATTAAGACCTATACAGATTAAAGTTTTTGAAGTTATACTTCTTTAGGCGCGTTATGAAAAAATGATGAGAGTGAAATTTTTAGATGCGCGCGCATCACTGTAACCCAAAAGTAACAGCATGAAGTTGGCCGCGGGCGCGTTATGAAAAAATCATGTGAGTGAAATTTCGAGATGCGCGCGCATCACTGTAACACAATAGTAACACCATGAAGTTGGCCGCGGGCGCGTTATGAATGTTAGTGTCTAATAATAAATAAATAAAGAAATAATTGGTGGATTATTAACCACTAAGTGGTTAATAATCCACCATTATTAGACATCTGTTCGAAAGGTATTTTGAACGATCCACGGAGCTCCATAAGATGATCGCGTTGTCAAAAACAATGTTGGCACGCTCGTCGCCTCTGATCACTGTTTTCATATTTATAATATTTATCCACATGTTTCTAGTTTCTATATAGACACAACGTGTTTTAGTTACTTACAAGTGCTAATTACATATGGACTAATAACTTAAATTCAGTAGTGATTTTAATTGAATATTTTGAATATTTATTTAATTTTTCAAATTAAAACTGAACTTAATTGACTGTGTTAACTATCCTTTTCCAGTCCTTTTATTATTTTATTGTAATTATTAATTATTTGCATGCAATTAAAAAATATTTTTAATGATGCTAAAGAAGTATAACTTCTCACGCGCGTACATAAGTTACACGCATCCATTTTTTATTTCATTATAGTAGTAGTTCAAAAGTATTAGATTTTGAAATATGATGGAACGGAGTATGTTTACGTAATAATTTGTAGCGCCTTTGGTTAACGTAGTTATTTGCGTTGAGCATGCCGTCGTTGAAGACCGCGATGACGTCACGCGGCCTGCTATACAGACGGGGTCACTGACCGCTGCAGCCGCTTGCAGCGCTCGAGCTTGCGGCGCACGCTTGCAGCATGACGTCGTTGAAGGCGACGGTGACGTCACGCGGCCTGCTATACAGATGGAGTTACTGACCGCTGCGGCAGCTTGCAGCGCTCGAGCATGCGGCGCACGCTAGCAGCATGACGTTGTTAAAGGAGACGGTGAAGTCACGCGGCCTGCGATACAGACGGGGTCACTGACCGCTGCAGCCGCTTGCAGCGCCCGAGTTTGCGGCGTACGCTGGCAGCAAGACATCGATGAAGGCGACGGTGATGTCATGTAGCCTACGATACGGACAGAGTCACTGACCGCTGCGGCCGCTTGCAGCGCTCAAGCTTGCGGCGCACGCGGCGTATGGCGGCGGCGTCGAGCGATGGCAGCATGCCGTCGATGAAATTGGCGTTGACGTAGTCGCAGGAGGATCCTCGACTAGCGCCCGCACCCACGCAACCCGCGGCTCCGCAACGACCGCCGGCGGAGACGCAGACACGGGAATGGTCGTCTGGAGACAAACGAAAGACATGGATGTTTATATGTATTTCTAAATAAAAATCTAATACATAAAATTCTCGTGTCACGGTGTGCGTAATTTATATGCATATTCAGTAGGTCTGTGAATCGGACAACATCAATTTCTCATCCTTCTAAATGTTATTTTTTTTGGTACAAAATGTTGTTTTTATTTTTGTATGATACATCATACAAAAATACATTTAACATCACTGAAAGAAGAAAGATATTATACCCTTTTGGATGCTTTGAATTTGCCTACAGTCATACACAATCATAACACATTCTGAGATTTTTTCATGGTTCTGAAGTTCATTACGACGGGACTAGCCTTGACTTGAAAAGGTAAATCTGCATATTTTTTTAGTAATACTAAAGATATGCGTGCCTCGCTTGCGGTGCTGAAATATGTGCGATCACTTTTTGTGTAATTACTAACCAAATGGAGTTTTTTGCTAAATCACTGGTAACGCTTGTTTCATTCAACTTTTTTAATAGAGAATCAATCAGATACCATTTCTTATTATGGATTGTCATATAAACTAGGATAACATCTAACATTTCCTGTTTTTGTACCATTTTTGGTCCTTCGAGCCGGATATAAACCGAGACTTTTGTATCCAAATTGTTTTGTTTTTTTTTATCTGATGGTGAATGAATAATATTACCTTTTAACATTACTTTGATTACTCATTTAAAAAGTAAATATTCTCTTTGCATACGAAACATTACAGATTTTTTATTTTTTATTGAACAATCAAAAAACTTACATGCTGTGATGTTCAGGTAACGATTTTTCAGTCTATTCTCTGGCCGAGTACTGTGATGACTCGTGTGTCCTAATGCCGCTGACCTTGCCACCACTATCTCATATTCTTTACTGTAAACAAGAAAAACAAATTAATAAATAAACAAATCTCATAGGAATAAATGATAAATTTGGTGGGAAAATGACTGCGAGTCAACACTGGAAGCAGATATCTATGTTACATTTTTTTACAATCTTAGTACTAAAAATCCCACTCCGATACGTCAATCAAATTCAATGTTGATTATATTTGATTCTGTTACTCTTGCAAAGAAAATGACAGAATATTTTATGAAACATAGAAATTAATTGACCACTCTAAATAGCTGTAAGTAAGACTCACACTTGACAATTCAGTTTGTGTTTTTTGTATTGAGGTTGCTATTTGATACATCCAAGGGCGGGCGCCAAGTAATGGAATAAATTATTAACAATATTGTGTATCGAAAATACAACGATATGCATATGGTGCTTGTAAAAGCCTAAATTGAATTAATTAATTTGATTATATTTTTTAAGAACGAAACTGTTAGATTTATTTATTTAAAATAAATACTAGAAAATTAGCACCCGGATTGGGAAAGGTACAGGTTAGAATTCTGTCTGAACCGTGTATATTTTTTATATTAAAATTTTCTAATTGCTCAATTACACTTGGTCGCCGATTGACAATGGAATATGGGTATACGACTAAGTGTAAATGAACGGAGTCGTGTGCGCCCGTATTCGGGTAGTTTTCGTTTTGGTTACCCGACACCGTCTTCCAGTTTAAATATTGCTTCGCATGCCTGAATTCGAGTAAAGTCTTTCGTCAACGATATAAAAACCCTAGATACACCAACACGAACAAAATCGAGCCTGAAACCTGTCAAAAACGTACATTGGACGATCCACGGCGCTGCGTAAGATGATCGCGTAGTCAAAAATAATATGAGGCATTATTCACACATTGAAAGTCACCTTTAATCTATACTGCATAAGGTCTTCATTAAAACGCATGCGTCAAACAGTTATGACAGTTTGAAATGCAAGCTCGTAAAATTTTACGACATATTGCTATATGCGAAAGAATATAGACCTTATTTCTTTGACTCTACGCGCAATTCCGAATGCGCTGTTTGCAATATAGTAGGTATGGACCGTGAGGGAAAGAGACGACTATACTACCGACCATGCGTTTGAATATCACAAATATTTTAGTAAGTATTAGAACAAAACTTGATTACCAATTAACAAACATTGATTATACCTGTCGAAAAAACGACACTTTACACACTATAAGTAATTTTTTTCGCATTTTGTCAACGGTCCGCGCGTGAGTGTGAACTAAGAAGTGCTTGAGTGGAGTTCAAGCACTTCTTGATTGGGACACATCTTGAGCGCACGTGGTGTATCTAGTGTATTTAATATCATTGTCTTTTGTGCATCCGAATACGGGCTAACTACCAAATGCAAACGAGAGTCATTAAGAATGAATAGGGATGATGACTAACTTTTTTTTTTTCGTTTATCAGGTAGATTATCAAAAAGTATTGGACACGTATTTTTTCTTTTTTCACATAATATAAACATTGCAGAGATATATTGATTTGAAAAGTCGCATGACGTCACGTTTGAGTACTCTTTTAAGTGAAAATTCACTAAAAAGTGACGTCACGAGCCCCTCCTCCCAAACTTTGGACGCGCTACAACTTTGCCATTTTTTGGTTGATTGCCCAAAGAAAAAATACGTGTCCATTATTTTCTGATCATCTAACTGACGGACTAAATAGAATTTCGTTTACTGTACCCCGTCATCAGGAGGAGCTCGATGGCGCGGGTGGTTAGCGCGTTCTGGTGCGATCGTTGAAGTTAAGCAACTTTCGCAGTGATCGGTCATTGGATGGGTGAGCAAAAATTTACTATCTCGAGCTCCTCCGTGCTTCGGAAAGCAGGTTAAGCCGTTGGTCCCGGTTGCATCTGCAGTCGTTAGCCCCCCACCAATCCGCATTGGGCCAGCGTGGTGGGTCATAGCCCAAACTCCCTATTCCATCCATAGGGAAGGCCTGTGCCCCAGCAGTGGGGACATTAATAGGCTGATGATGATGACCCCGTCATCACCCCTATTTGAGTATGATGATATTACCTGAATCCGATGTCCCCGTCGGCGTGGAGCGCGGCCACGTGCGCGGGGTATAGCGGTGCGCGCACGCAGGGCTGGTGCGGCCCGCACATGCGCGGGGGCCGCGCCGCCGGCGAGCAGGCCCCCTCCGGCCCATCCCCACCACCGCCGGCGCCCCCAGAGGTGCACGACCGCAACGGCGAGCAATTCACCACTGCGCGAGAAACGTAAAATAATAGGGGTAACTGCCCAATCATTGGCACTCTTCCTATTATTGGCACTTTTGAGTTTAGTTCGAAAAAAACAGTAAACAATAGATTGTAGGAATAATGCTGCTAATTTTCAAATTTCGTAACTATACTAGGTTTTTCTTTTTAATATGTAACGACCTTGAATAATCTATTGTCTATTTGTTTTTTTCGAATTAAACTCAAAGTGCCAATAATAGGACGAGTACCAATGATTGGGTGGTTTCCCCTAACCTATGCCCCCCCTAGCATGAGCACCGCGATATGATATATGCTGCGCCTTTATCGCGCTCGATTGTTAAATAAATATACAGTTTGACAGATAGACGCGATCAAAAACGTGATACAATGTAAATTGTGATGCTCATGCTACGGGAACTGAGTTTTAGATACATGTAAGAAGAATAAAAGATAGGGGACTCCTGCAAAACTGTATTAAACCACTACACAAAAAACGTAAAATAATAATGAGGCGAACGCCATCGCACTAATGTAAAAAGAAGAAAGATAGGGGGACTCCTGCAAAATTGTATTAAACTCGTAATCAACTTCTAAGGTTTTTTAAATCACGCTAATAACCGACGGCTAGCCCCTAGCATGTTATTTGGAAATATGGATATAGTTTTATGTGAGTATGATAGTTAACACGCATGGCTACTGCGACCCAGGGTACCCCCCCCCCCCCCCCCACTATGAATGAATCATCATCATCAGCCAATCAATGCAGGGGGCACAGGCCTTCCCTATGGATGGAATAGGGAGATTGGGCCGTGATCCACCACGCGAGCCCATTGCGGATTGGTGGATGCTAAAAACTGCAGATGCAGCCGGGACCGACGTAACGGGCTTAACGTGCCTTCCGGAGCACAAAGGAGCTCAAGGTAAGTTTTTTAGTCACCCATCCAATGACCGAACACTACGACTCTTTTGATTAAGGTACAGAGTTTGTAAAGTTAGGGATTGTGTGAGAGCGCGTAGAGTTAGAAGCAAAAAAAACTGCTAACGACGACATTAATATTTGTATCATATTTTTAATTTAAGCATAAAATTGCTAGATTTTATATCTCGAGAAAAAAATCCAATTAAGTGGTTTAAAATAGTCATGATTGCATTTATTACTGACCTGGTTTCTTGTACGAGTTGAGAGGAGCCCGGGCAGCCCTTTCACCACCTTCTTCCAAGTAGTTGTAAACGGCACTCACGCATTTGCTAAGACGAGAACGGCACCTGTGTGAATAAATCAGATAATATTTTATCTATCCTCAATCAAACAGAACTTAAAAAGGAAATGAGAAATATGCTGTGCACTGTAATATATTAATAATACGTTTAAAAGTAGCCCCGATAAGAGTGTAGTAGTTGACAATATTTCTTAATTTTTAAAGATAAAAAGGAACAAAATATTTTGTAACACTTTGCACAAGAGAGGCACATCGAGTTATCAGCTCGAATCATAAAGCGACATTATACTGATGCAGAATATCAAAAGGGGGACAACATTGCACCTTGTAAAGTACTCCCACGGTATCTGAGCCCTCTAGTAGCGCTGAACGTCTAGGGTAATAAAAAAAATTTCAACAATCGACCATGTCTTGGATTGGCCGCTTGGATTTGATACGAAATAATTTTATGGAGGAACTCAACTGATATAAAATTATTGCCATCAAGTGATAACTAAAGAAATTCGATGGAAAAGTCTTGGCCTATGCAGGGGTTGGCAAAATTTTAGAAAACAATATACAGGGTGTAAAATATCCTATGACAAAGATTCAAACTACACATTCTGTACACCCAAACAAGCAATATTACAAAATATTATACGTGGGAAAAAAATGTATTTTTAAGTAAGACTTTGTCCTTCGTCCGTTAAAGTTTTTTTTACATCCTGTATCATTTGTGAAAATTAATTTAGAAATTTCATCTTTTAATAGGCATTATACATATTTAAATTGTAAATCAATTCTGAAAAAAATGACAGCAATGAAACCTTTTTTTAAATTACTTTTTTATTTATTCAGATTCGTCTGTGTCTGTAGAATCTGAATCTGATACAATTATAACAAATTTATCGGTTACGTTGTTAACGATATAAATAATCGAGCATAAGAACTTGTTTTCTTTTTTTTGGGCGTGCTAAACACATGTGCATACATCGAACAAAATATCAAATAATTAGTAAAGGACAATGGGCAAAACGCACCCAGCTCCGCCAACAATGTAATTAGTATAAATCGATAGATCTATGAAAAACTAGCCTTTTTTATTATTACACCGAAAATAAATATCCTGGGAGTCAAAAGATATGACACCGTAAAACATATCCTGGTAGTCAATAGATATGACACATAGGCATATTTAAGTAGCTGAATAAATTCATTTTATAATACCTTCATTTTATATTATAAGTAATCATAATAATATGTCATATCGTACTATACAACCAGATATACGACAAAGCCTGCCGACTATCCTGAGCTTACTCTTACTGAGACATTTCAAAACGGCTGCTGTATCCTAACTGGGTTCTTTTATTTATCTTTAACAAAGTTTCTACAGCGATTTTTGTGGATGTAATACAATAAAATAGAAATACAATTTTAAGACCAATAACAGAAACTTATTTTGTACACATTAGATACTAACGGCGCCGCCGCATTGCTATACATCAATATGACATTTAATTTTCCAAAACTTATAAAAAATCTTATAATTTACTAACTAAAGATTGGATAAGCATAACAAATGACAAAAAAAGAAAAACAAACACTAAATACCCATATAAAAGGGTTTTCAGGAATTTGTCACATGATAACTTTATGAAGTGTGGTGCATGTATGTATGCAATGCTATGCCTCGTAAAGTTGTACTCTAAAAAACGAGCTGACACCCCGCCCCGTCGCGCCCCGGACACTACATCAATCAAGTACTTCAGTGTGAGTGCTTGTAATTGTAGGCTTACATGGCACTGAGAATAAAAACAAATAAATGTCAAGGAAATTCTTAATTGGAATTCAATGTTTTGAGACAGCATGTAAACAACAAGAAAGCAATAAATGATTGTTTTTTTTTTTGTAATTGTTATTTTAGGAGCTTTTTTATAATTATGACTGTAAATCTACCTATTTAGTGCTATAACACATCAGACAAGCACGTCGCAGGCGACATGTAACGCCGTGCCGCGCGCGGTTTAATTTTCTATGAAGCTCTTTGTGCAAAGCCTATTACCGCTGCTGGATCGCGTCGTCGCGTGCGGCTTCCGTTTTTGCACGGTTTTATATGGAAACAACTTGAGCGGTAATAGCATACCGCGGATCGCTTGTGCTTGCTTGTGCTACTCATATTATTGTCACGATAGTGTCGAAAAGATCTTTAGGTAGTATACTGTTTCGAAACTTAGTATTTTGTCCTTTTATTTGTTCCAATAATAAACGCGAGTAATTCATCAAATGATTCGACGCTCATCCTGCAATAGTTGAAAAACTTCTCTTCGTGCTTGCGCAGCACATAGAAAGCAACTTTTGTAGGACATTCTAAAAATATGGGATGTACCCAGTATCCACGTTTCAGTTTTTTGCGGCGGCGCACATAATAAAACTACAAGGCTGCGATCTCTTCGACCTCCGTTTTGAAACTGACTTTTTTCGACCGCGTCTTGTCGCGTATCAAAATCGAGAGCAAACTAACTCGCGCGGTTCCGCAGCGCGCAGCCAATCGCGTAAGTGAGTTCTTACACTTAGTTTGTAACAATTATTGCTATATCCTAACTGAGTTCTTGTTTGGAATTATATTTTTTGTAACAGCATGTAAACAACAAGAAAGCAATAAGTGAATATGAATATTATTGATAGTAAAAGTAAAAAAATAATATAATAACATACTAAAATACCTCATTTTTTTATGCAGCTCTCACAGAAGAGTCTGTGCGGAAAGAGAATGGGATTTAGATTGGAGGGCGCTGTAGTGCTTTTCTAGCATATTTGTAAGGTTTTACCAATTTAGACATGATTAAATACAAAAAACCGCCAGAAATCACAACAAAAAACAAATCCGTATCAATACAAAACTTTGACGTTTTACATATTGCTGGGTTTGATTGCCAGATAAAAATCTTAACGTTAGTTCCGTTTTTCGCCACGCCCATTCTCTTTCCGCGCAGACTTTATCCATAATGCTTTTTTTTTGTATGCAATCACACCACTTATGTACATTATGTTAGAACAATTAAATTTATGAATTGAATCGATGAATTAAAATACTAACCTCCAATAAAGTATGATGACTATAACAGTAAGTAGGAGCGCTATAGTGGCCGTTGCTAAGAGCGCCGCAGTGTGAATTCCAGCTGTTGCTGTAACATCATCACTCGGCGACATCGCTTCCGAGTGGGCAGCGCACCAATCGCTTAACAGTTTCTGTACACGAATATAGACCTTATTTGTTGTAGATAACAGCTACTGTATACACCATGAATTGTGAGTTAAACTTAAATATCTTTTAAATAAAAGTAGTGGGAACAGAAATGAATATTAAAAAGGCTCGGGCTTTACATAATATCCTAAAACGGCACAAATTTGTAAATAACATACCTATTATGAAAAATAATTATTCATTCAAAGTACGTAGATCCTAAAAGTAGATTTATATGAATCAATCTATGACTACAAAATTGTTAAAGTGTATTAATTGCACAATTAATGAGTTAACATGGAGACATTATTCGAAAACAGTTTTATATTTATATAATTTAAATCGTTGTCTGAATTTGCTAGTAAAGTTTTTCAGGCAATTCAAAATATCATCATCAGTTTGTCCGAATTCTATAGGCAATCAAGCTAACGACCTAGTGTAATTGCGCCATTAGACTACAATCTTGGTTGACCAAGTTTCGCAATAATACAGAGCTCTATGGTAGTTAGTGCGTTCGGTTTGCGTTCAATTCAGGTAGTTAAGCAAGGTTCGCAAAATCATTTTGTTTTATGTTATAGGGGGCATACGAGCAGAAATGAAATATGAATTATTCTCAAACTAAGCCGAATGGCCGTTGGCCTCAGCTGTATCTGCAATCATAGGCACCCACCAATCGTAGTGGACCTACGCGGTAGATCACGGGTGGATCATTACGCAATCTCCCTATTCCATCTAAAGGGAAGGCCTGCGGGAATATGAATATAGGCTGATGATAATATGCTTCTGAGGAGTTATTCTCCCTTATCCCCCCCATCATCTTTTCTTCTGAGGACCACGCGCGCTGGCCTACGTTGTCACCGACTTACCATGGCCACTATTCCTACACGAACAAAGAAAATTGGTGACTCATTTCTTTGTCGTATTATTCACAATTGGAATTATATCCTGTCATTATATGTCGACGACCTCCGTGGCTGAGTGGTTCGTACGCCGGGTTTCATGGCGTCGCCGAATCGTGATGTCCCGGGTTCGATATCCCGGTGGGGGCGGATGTTTGTGTGATGAATACGAGCATTTGTACTCCAGGCATGGATGTTTAATATATATAAATATACTTATATATGTACAGCATATATATTCTATCCGTTACTAGTTACGTCCTAGTATCCTATAATACAAGCCTTACAGTGCTTACTTTGGGGCTAGGCTAATTGTTGCGAGTGTTGGAAATATTTATTATTTATATTTATTATATGCCCACGCACGTATTTCCCCCTTCCTACATCTTAATTATCTTAAACAGAACCATATCTTTCACAACAAAATCTTTTCTGAGCATAGATTAAAAATAACTCAAAACTCACCTCTGGTGGAGATTCTGAACCATTTATGAGAATATTGGGGCGTGCCACCGATTGCGTCACAGCGTAAATCTTGACCTCGTATTGTGTGTCGTTCATCAATTCAGTTTCCTGGAATATACAAAATAACATGAGGAAAATTGTAGACACATTTTAAATTATGTTATTTATGGAAAGGCAAACAGCCTAAACAATGTATATACATACAGCCAATGTGTCAATTTATCTATATCAAAATGTCATTCAAGTAATGCATTCTTATCAACGATATTAAAACCCCTAGATACAACATCACGAACAAAATCGTGGCCAAAACCTGTCCAAAAGGTACATTGAACTTTATTTCTTTGACTTTGAATGCGCTATTAGCAATTTAGCGCAATTTAGTTAGCAATTTCGCGGGGCGCGAGAGAAAAAGACGTCGACATAACCATGCAGTTATTATTATAAATATTTTTTATTTATTCAATTTACAGTAAATATTAGAACAAAATTTGCTTTAAATTAACAAACATTGATTTTATACCTATCGAAAAAAAAATAGTATGTAGTGTACATAGTATATTTTTTTTTCGCAATTTTTAACGGACCTCTACGGCATGTTAACTTTATAGCGGTCTACGCGTGACTGTGAACTAAGAAGACAAGAAGTGGAGTTGAAGCACTTTTTGATTGGGAAGAATTTTGAGCACTCTCAAATAATCGGGTTATATCGCTGTTATATCGACGAGTGGTTGCATATGGTAGTAATGTGTATGTGTGCGTGAAGTGATACATTTTATTTATTTGAATTCCCAACATTATTAGTGTATCCAGCCTACTACCGCGGCGCGGACCTGTGTGTGCGTGTGCGCTATTTCAAAAACATTGCGTATTTTGTATCCAGCATATTCAAGAATATTTTTATAAAGCGCGCAATAGCATTATAGTCAGTATAGCAGCAGTGCAAAAAATTACACTTGTAAAAGTTCAAATCTCCAAGAGTTCATTTTACAATTTGCTCAAACTTTTGAGACTCGGAAACGCATCAATTTTATATCACACACAAACATTTTAAAGGATACAATTGACAGTCACGTCATTATTCTTCACGCTTAAGCCGTTCAACCGATTTAGATGAAATTTAGTATATGTACTTTCGAGTCCCGGGAAATTACAAGACTGTTATTTTAGAAATCATCCTTGAAGGGGGTGTAAAGGGGGATGGAACTAAAGAAAACTTTACTAGAAAAAACTCCACGCGGACCATGCAGCAGACGGGACTCGAACCCGCTATCCGGGCGAATGCACTGAACATTATACTACCGCGGCCCTGATGGCCATGTCGAATTTGCTCTAGCCTTTCTTAGGTTGTAAGGCAGCGCCATCTCTTCGCATAGGCATTCGCATCTCTGTAGGTTACCCACAATGTCAAATGAATACCTTTACAAGTAGCATTTGAAAGAAAAATATCAGTTATAGTTATTTTAGCAGTTAAATGTTTAAAAAATAAATAATATAAGGGGGTGGAAGTTTTATGGGATACCATTTTTTCCAAGCAGTCAAAGTTGCAGGCAGTCGATTTATAAATCAACTTTTTTAACATAACCATAGACTAACTTACCACGCTGATTGTTGTTTCAATATCGTTCCTATTAGTGGGCAGTGTGAGACGAGTGCGTGGTTGCTGCTCAGGTATCTTCCTTATTGTCACCACGTACTGGTCTAAAGAGTTGTTGTAATCAACCGGCTGTCGCCATTGGAGGTAAAGTGTACCTGTTTTTAAGTAAAAACAAAAGTATTTTGTAAATTTCATAGCCTAGGTTGCAGGGATTCTCTATGGCAATGATGAAATTGAGGGTTCACATAATTTAAATAGTCATTGTACGCAGCAGTATTTTTAAATGTAAATTTAGGGGCAGATTCTTATTACAATTAACTTTTCATTAAGTTACGCGGTACAAAATAATACAGAAATTTTAACATTTAGATTAACATCAAATCGAAATTACATAACATCCAATAATCCAGGTTATAATTAAACAAAATCTTTCCCGATAACTTTATAACCGTTACGTAGTTACTTCCATAGCAGAAACAGCAAACAGACGTGTGTAAAAAATCTTCTTTACATCCAACTCACGTTTGGTAATGTCGCACGTCAAGTTGAGGATCTTGGGCGGAGAAGGGGGCATCACGTCTGTGAGCACGTAGACAGGCTCAGACTTGTTACTCAGCCTTTCGAGGAGATCGGATGAAGACACACCTTCTAAGGAGAAGTTGTAGAACGCACGCACCCATATCTTGTACGGTGTGAACGGCTCTGAAAACAGTGATTAAATGTAATATATTAATTAATAAAAATATTCAATAAATGCAGAGCAGTAACAATATCCATCATAGCGTAGGCAGAGCGTCATAGCTGAATGTCCGTGTGAAAGATATCTAAACAGATATTGACCTGAATATTGATATACTTAATTGCTATAAACGGAAAAAAAAATCTCTTTCTTTTTTTAGAATACTCACTCAAATTCTTTAGTCGAAATCCGACCACTTTCGTGACCTTGCCCGAAGTGTTCAGCAAAGTCAGGTTCTTAGTAGACCTGGAATACTCCTCCATTCCCAAATCGCTCGAGAACACATTCTTATTCTTGACCTCTGAGGAGTTCTGCGCTCCCTGTACTGGCGTCATATCGAACCTTGGCACTCCTTGCTCAAAGTATAGCACGTACGCAATCTGCGTGGTATCTTTGTGCGCTCGAATCGGATTGAAGGACTTTTTCACTACCTCTATAGAATTGCCCATTTCGAAAGCCTGATGTGTTTCCACATCACCGTTCTCCATGTGTAAGCTCCTCGCGTCAGTGCTGTTGTCCTGCCTTCTTTTCCTATGCCTGTGGGAACGAGATTCCCTCTTACTTCTATAAGAGTCCATCATCATATCCGAAGTGGAGTATTCGTCGCTGTACTTCTTGTCATTTTTGTACCAGTTGTATGTAGCGTACTCCAGGTCTTTAAGCTTGTCAGGGTTTTCTGGCAGCACTAGTGGACCGTTTGCATCATTGACAGGCGCGTCTGATTGATGTTCAATTGTTTTCTTTGGTAGGACGGCGAATTCTTGGTCTGGTTTGGTGGTCAGTATCTTCTCAGGTGAAGGGATGGGGTGGAGAGTGAAGGTTAGCGGCGGGGCCCAGGATAAATGTATTTCGGTAGCTGTCACGAAGTTGGCTGTGAGATTTTGTGGTGCGGACGGAACTAGAAACAGAAAAAAATATCAATTAATCATACGGTTTAAAAAGAATGTATAACAAAGACATACAATCATTAGCAATGCATCAAGATAATCTGTTGTGTTTTCAATCATATTTTTATTATATCTAGGAAATTATTTGCAGCTAAGATAAAAAAATTCTTTCAATAAGTATATTTCACAAAGACGTCAACAACTTATTATAGGTAAACTGCTTAGCGGATTACCTATAATAGACTATTCAAATCATGTTCTTTTTAACATTTCACACACACAACATAACAAAATCCCTAATAATTACGAAAACTATTGAAGTAACACACCATGACACTAAAAGGAAACATGAAATTATCACCATCCACTTACAATAAATACGGAGTAACTAATTGCTGTCACCATTATCAGTTAACTAATTTAGATGGTCCATCTTCAAGATATCCTTTTAAGTAGGTCTGTACCCTTAGTACGAGTTTTACAAACAAAAAACTAGCATAGTTTTCGTGAGCTCCCACTCGTACTAAGGGAACTGATTTTACTGTTTTCGTTACAACAGTGTTTAAATTCTATCATTAAATCATTTGCGTCTTCTTAAATTTTAAGTATATTTAGTTTTGACCAAAATGGACATAGAAACATAATTTAGTGTCGCCGCACACGGGCCACACGCCACAGCCACAAACGCCGCCACGAGAAGCTAGAAGCGGCTACTAAAGTGGCTGAAGCGCGCGACAGCGGCCGACTAAGGTAAGGGAGAGAGGGGTGGGGAATCGCGCGAGTGACGTGTGGCGGCGTTTTGTATCGGCGCATTAATTAAGTGGCCGGTGCGGGCCACAAGAAGCGAGCAACGACGATTTGTAGCGTGTGGCGGCCACCGGCGTACCGTGTGTGGCGAGTCGATATAAAATGTATGAAAACTACAAGAAATATGCCGGAGGCGGCGTTTTGTGGTTGTGGTCGGTAGCGTGTGCGGCGACACTTACAGTTTTCGTGAGCTCAAACTCGTACTAAGGGTACTGTTTAGGAAACAGGAAAGGCAATGTTGACCTCTTACCACCAGGTTTAATTATATGACTTTCTCACATAAATAATACAATTAGTGGAGTACAGTTAACTTTAAGGCACGGTGCAGAAGTCATATTAATCTCCAAAAGCGTTTTAATAAAGTAGTCGCTTTGTATTATGGCGGATTGGCGGTAAATAGGATTATATTTCAGCTAAATGTTTAGGAATCTCCACTACAGATAGCCGTAAAGGAAATTTGAGGGTTCTTTCGCATTGGCAGGTGCGTTCTACATACAAAGGACCGTATTCCTTATTTTAATTTACTATTATTAAACCATTGATTCGGCTTAATGTTTTGAAGTGACACTGAAGAGAGAACCGAATGTGAATTAACAATTCAAGCAATCAAAATCCGCGTATATACGCCCCGGCATAGTGTACAATAGTTCATGTAAAATACATACAAGCTATTTCAGCGAATTTTTGCGTTGCAGCGCGACATAATGTACGTGATACTTTAAACCACGCAACGGATTTTGAAACGATTTTATCCATCACCATCTAGATAAATTTTTAACGAAGATTTATATTATATGTATGTTAGCAAGCTCTAGAAAAAGAAACTATATCTTCTACACCAAACGAGGGCAGGTCACTCGTATACTATAAATAAAACCTACTTATGTATGATATTATATTTACTTGTGACTATCATCTAAATTAAGAACGTGATAGCAATTATGACAACTACTTGACGGATGCCCCAGAACAGGAGGTTCTTATCGTATTCGTGACACATAACTTGTAGTAGCGGAGCTGAAACAGGGATTTTGGATTTACTGGAGTGCGGCAGAATAACGGGGTGCAACCTTGCACCTTGTGAAGTACTCCCACCTTACCTGAGCCCTTTATATAGGGCCAACGTCTAGGACAGCAAGATAAAAACAACGAAAGACCATGATTTTCGCGTCCAATTCGTCAGTCTTTTGAATTGGAACTACTGGAGGATTCAGCATCACATCCCTTCTCAATATCTGTCACACTTGATTTTTTTTCTTCCTATATTCTACTCTTTCGTACGACCCCCACAACATGCAAACCGGCAGGTCAATATTTTTTCCGTCCTCAAAAACGTTACCCAGTAGAAACTATTCAAAAGACTTACGATTTGGACTTGACCAAAGGCATGACCGATTGTTGAAATTTTATATTTTTTTTACTGCCCTAGACGTTCTTCACAAGAAGCAAGGTTGCACCTTACGTTATACTTCAGCTCTAGAGTAAATCTAAAAATCTGCGCTTGGGCACCCGAAGGTACTATTATTGTTGTAAGTAATTGAAAAGTACACACCAGGTTTCTAATAAATATTTACTTCCGTGCATAATTGTTAATATGTACGTATCAACTTTATTCATTGAGCTGGTGGTTATGAAAATGTTTATTTTTACATAATTGGCTTAAAATTATCATAATTATTAAATCATAATATATCTGCTGCGCGTTCACGCGTTATAAAACCGGTTCCAAACAAATGTTTTATTAATACTATTTAGATATTTTTATGACAAAAAAAACTTCACGCTATTACACCTTACCTTGAGAATGTTAAAGTACTAAATGAGATTAGTTTATAATATAAGACACGAGTTACCCTCATCCGTTAACAAAGGATTTAATCCCCACTGGGTTAAAATACAAACATCGCCACTTTTAAAGATAGAAATCTGAAAGTAGATGTAAATAAGTTTATGGCAATAACATAAAAACGAACTTAATTTATTTTTGGACATTAATTGATCCGTCTATTAGGACCGAGTAAATGACCTGAAGTTATGTGGGGAGACCAGACGAGAAGATAAGCTGTAGTTTTCCTACTACGCCAACCATTCTCACCTTGCCCGGCTGGAGAAATGATTCTTCACGCCTTTTTAAAGGAACTTGAGTAGAAAGAATGAGAATACACAGGCAAAGGATTGCATTTGCGAATAATGCGACACATAAATGAATCACCAAATTTATTTTTTCGCTATAGAATCGTGGCCAAAAATAGTTAAGAGATGGTAACGTAGAACAGCGTGCGAGGTTTCGAAGAATGAAAGATGAAGATGTGCCAAAGGTATTTAATTCTATAGAATACTCGCCATAGTATAAAGGACAGAACGCAATCAACGACGCAACATCACATATTATGTTTGTAGGGAGACTCAAGCTTGTACTTCATCTCTCTACATCGCCAATGATGAATGATGCGGGTTGCTCGTTGCTGCAACTTATCCAAAGCATCGATTAAATATTTGGTAAAGCCAATCCAGAGAAGGCGACAATATACAACGCAGGACCGTGTGTGTTGTCTCTTGTGCAACAAACAAGTCATAGTTGATCGGACGTGAAAAAAAATGGTCGCTCTGTATTCTGGACTTGCGACTTGAGCATGTAAGTACGATCCGACAAAGTATTTGTATAATGTTCCAATGATTAAACTGCTCATATTCTGCTAGCCATATTTAATAACCGCAAACCATACAAATACTTCTCATTTGAATATTACTCATTAGTACAGTACACCTCAACGATATCACACTTAACTTTAATTGGATTAACCAGAGACATCGTACCTATAGTAACAGGTTGCTAAATGAGGATGAATTTTCAAACACTGAACTAGGATTTGAAGTTTCCTGTCATCAGAAGAATCTCTTATCTAATAGACAAGTCCGTCCGTCCGTCCGTGGTGCTGTTTCAGCGGCCAAACCGTAAGAGATAGATAAAGACAATGTTTAAATTATAAGTTGAGAATAGTCTGATAAGACTACAAACCGGATGTGAGTAACGTAGCACTTCCGGTTTTCGAGAAATCACGTGATTTCTATTTCAAACGAAACCACACAAAATCTCCGAAGTTCTCAATTAATTAAATACATTTTTTTTGGTGAACATTTGGTTCACTGGTTTGCTAGTGACAAAATAAATGATTGCCTTTTTCTTATAGTGCCCATTTTGGACAGTGTTCTGAATGTGAAGGGGCTGAAACAGGGAATGAAATATATGACTGATACTAATACGATAAATGCGAAAGTGTATCTGTCTGTCTTGCTTCCTGTCTATTACCTCTTTACGCTCAAACCTCTGCACCTTTTTTGGTTATGAAATTTGGTATAGAGATAGTTTGAGTACCGGGAAAGGACCATGCTCGTATTTATCCCAGAAATAATCCTTCGGGTGAACGTTTGTATGGGAAACCAATTCTTCCAGGCAGACGCAGTCGTGGGCAACCATTTGTTATATCATACAAAGTCGCGGACATCAGATAGTAATATATAATGATATATACACTAAAGAATCTTGTTGAAACCGTCGTCGTACCTTTTATGTTCTGCCGTACCGCATCATATAAGACTTGACGCTATATATGTGTAGGTACATGAAAATTAAATATCTGATTATCCTGCAAGTCCACATAAGCACACACATTATGCATACGTAATGCCAAAACGCCCAGCAAATTCAATATATCGACCAAGTGTTAATATAGTGTTATTGATTGGTTGCTAAAAATGTTCTATCGGCGGTCGTGCCTTTCTGTTGGTGAGCATCTATCCTTGGACCCTGAATAATTGAGTCCGAAATCTTTAGGCATTTAGATTGAACAAAGTTTTTTAACCGGACCGGTGATATAAATAGTGATGATGTAGAAAAACGTAACATACTGTTCATAAATTCCTATCCACAAAACCATGAAATATTTACTGTCGTGCGAATCCGGGGTGTTCAATTGTTTATAATAATATATCTTAAAATGTAAAAAAATATTGAAATATTTGAACTTTTTGGTAAACCTGACCTCCTCATCAGCCCTGGACCCCGGAAATTTCAAAAATTTGATCTAATATCAAATTCGGATTCAGGAAAAAGATATTTTAGGTAACTTGACTTCTAATTTGGCAATACGAAAGTCAGGTAATTGCCCGGCTTGCATTCAGTCCGGCAAGCTCTCTCGCCGCG